AAACTCTATTAGAGAATCAACTTTTCCCAAAATTGGTAAACAGTGATGCACAAATAATCACTGAACAGCAGAAATTTTTTTCACTCTACAAAATCGACAATAATGGTTCAGTTATCCAACAAAAAAAAAAAAATGCTAAAGAAATGAATGAAGATTTATTGAAAAATCTGTCTTTATATAAATCTTTTTTTTTTTTTCAATTCAATTCAATTTTTTTATAAATATTATTGACTAATGCAGCTATCGCTGTTTGCCATTACTGATGCTACTGATGCTACTGATGCTACTAATGCTACTGATTCTGTTGCTGCTGCTGCAGCTGCAGATGATGATGATGAGAATGAGGTTGATATAATATAAATGGTGGATTTGGTGATGTTATAAACTGTGTTACTGCTTTACAAAAAAATACAGCTAAAAAAAAATCGGTGATCATTTAAACAGTGATTAAAAACGAAAAAAACAGAACAAAAACTAAAAATCTTATCAAAAGAAAAACTTTAAATTAGATTAATTAACAAAAAACTTAGTTTTTTTTTTCTTTTACAGTTGCTGTCAAAACAAAAATTATTCAGACAAACAACGAAGCAAATTCAATAGATTATTTTTTCCGCTTATCTGTCAATTGCCAATAACAGAACAATGCTGCAAAGTTATTTAGTAAAAACTTTTCTTGGAAGTAATAACAAAAACAAAAACAGCTTAAATTTTGGTTTTACATATTAATACTTAATTAACAATTATTAAAGTTACTACAGTAGCGGTTTACAAAAAAAAAAACCTATTCTACCGTAACCAACCATCTGTCATCAGTTATTTTTTTTTTATCCTGAAAAACAGTGCAAAACTGACAGTAAAAAAGGTTGGTCTGAAAGCAGACAAAGTTGGTCAACTGATAATTATTATCGGTTGCTTAATTGTACAGCAAAAATTTGCTCTCCTTTTTTTTTTGATATTTAGTAAAGGGGTTTCTTTTTTTGCCCGTTTACGCTAACGTCTTAAGTTTTTTATCTGATAACCACAAAAGAAATGAAAAAAGAAAAAATTTATTGCACATCAAAGTTTTAGCACACCAATTTTTTTTGTTTTTGCCTCAGTTTTTTT